ATTATATATATATATATATATATATATAATCTTTTTTAGAAATTAATTACTTTAACTTTATTTTATTTATTAAGTCTATCTGTTTATTCAGCTATCTGTTGAAATTATTTACTTTTGCTTGATGTATAATATTGGTATGAATAGAGCCCACTGGGCCCCATTTATTTTTAGCTGACTGGACATTAAGGCTTAAATCCATCCCTGCTAAACAATCATCCAGTGATACAAGAAGCTACCTTTTCACACCCACCCTTGAGGAAAGTAAAAATTTCAACCCACCCTTTATTTATTCAGGAAATCATTGATTCCCCTTCTTAAAACAGTAATAAAGGCTGTCCTCCACTATTGCACTAATGGAAATTTGTTCCATTAGTCAATCACCTTGTTAGAAAAATAAAACTGTCTTAGTGGAGCCTACCTTTTCAATCCAAATTCTAGACTTGTGTCCTCTCATCATATTATTTTAAGAATATAGCATAAAAAATCAGAGTCAGTATCCTTTCCTAGACAAGGAAACTAAAACTGTGCACAGTAATTTAAGTGAGACCTAACTAATAAATAGTAATCAATAAACTGCTATTAGCTGCACTTCTAGCAACAGAGGACTGCCTTGATGGCTTGAGTGATTTATCCATCACTTTGATAAGATCCTTTTCTTTAATCATACAATTGAATTGGTTTCCATCTATATTAAGCTTCTAATCCAAATTATGATAACCCAAATGCATTGATTTGCATTTGCTGTAAAGGTCATTTATCAAATATTTGTCCAACTCATGGTCAGTTGCAAATTGATCAAATGATCTAACTGAGCCTAGCTCATCTTGTTCCACAAAAATATATTTTTTGCTACAGTACTGTAACACCTTTTATCCAAATGAAGTTTTAAATGATAAAGCAAGTTTTTTTATGAGCTATGAAGAAAAAAATATCAATGCTGTAATTGTGGAAGAAATTTTTCACAAACGTCTTTTCTTCTAGGACCATATTACCAAGCTAAGCTTTTATCATTGAGCTCCAATTTCTTTACTATATACAAAGCTTTGCTGAACTAGAAACCTATTATCTTATTATTCTTTATAGTTGAAAACAACAGAAAAGAGAGCTTTTGTCTTGTGTATAGATTTCTATGTTTTCTTAAAACTGAGATATAGGCAATTACATCATACTATGACAACTGAGGTAGAGAAACTGATTTGCTAAAATCAATTAAACTACATTTGTATTGAAGTTACAAGGCTCAAATTAACACTGTTTTGTTCAGAAGTATTTTATCCTTTCTTCTAAGAGGTTGTGTGTGCCATACTCAGAAAATTTCAGTAAGTTCACAAACTAATATTTTTGTTTGAAACATTGTAAAATCAATCCAAAAATAAAATTTGTGATTTAAAAAAAAATTATATATAGAATTAAATAAATGAGACTTCTTGTTGATTAAATTTCAACTCTGAATTTTGTTTTTTTGTAATTTGTGGAAGAATGATTACAAATTTACTTTTATAAATTTTTCACTTAAATGGTGCAGTTTTGTCCTTCAGGCAGAATGCACCCATCATGGCACCATAGATTTAAATGAATATGATTGTTACTGTTTGAACAGTGATTTTGCATGCAGTTAATATTAGATGTGAGGTGTTAAATGTCATCTTTTTTTTTTTAAACTAAATAGGTTCTATATTTATATCATATTACAGAATTGTATGCTAGTGTGAAACACTGGCTTTTACTATCAAGATAAAGTGAGGCAGTGATGGGTAAAAAGAAAGCTTACATGTAAGGCTTAAGTGTGACCCAGAAATCATGCAGTATGGTGGTGCAGATGGCAGCAGCCATGCTGAATCATCAAATAATTTGTACTCAAAACATGAACTTAAGAAGCGGCTAACTTACCTGCAGTATCATGTAACCCAAGAAAAAGGAACAGAAAGGTAAATAGTGCAGTTTTTAATACATACCTTAATTTTGATAACAAATACAATAATTGCAATACTTTTATTCATTTTTCCAAATGTGGATTTAGAACTTGTAGATTTTATCTTTGTATGATTCATATATAATAGAGATGGTGTGATATGTGTAGACTCTAAACGATAGCTGTTCTTGCTACTTATGTGTTTCTTGATCCCGTAAAATGTATAATTAGAAAAGAAGAAAAAATTGGACTCAGAAAATCTTTAGAAACTCACCTTCACATTTAAAGAGTTTTGTATTTTAGAAAATTATCAAAAAATTAGATTATGTCAATTATTTATTACAGAAAAAGTTAAAGATTATTTATTTTTGTACTAGATCCACGGTAGGCTATATTGTTGATGTCTTTTTATGATTGTGTGTGTGTGTGTATACACAAACATACACACTACAATAACACATATTAGCACCCCATGTCATATTTCTGGATCTTCCTAGTGAGATTGGTTAAATGATTTTTATTTCTGTTCTATGTGAATAAATTGCTTTGATCAGAAGTTAATGATAATAGTAGTATTGTTTGATGATGAAGTTACTGCCAATTCTGATGAATAAGGCTCAATTTGAACATTTGTGAAAAGGCATTGTTATATACACCATAAATATATATTGTTTGGAACAAGACATAGATAGTTACAGCAAGTGCCTTCAGTTAGTAAAACTGTTTCAACATGTTTAAGAAGCAAATTTCCTTACATACCTGTTTGGATGGATATTTTGTTAAAAGTAATAATATTTTTCAAAGTTGAATAGTTTTCTTTGCTTCGCTGCAGAGCCTTTAGCGGAAAGTACTACAAGCTAAACGACAATGGAATGTATGCCTGTGTCGTGTGTGGGGAAGAACTCTTTTCCTCTGAAACTAAATTCCATTCTGAATGTGGGTGGCCGGCATTCTGGGATGTTGTAGATAAGAACAAAGTTACATTTAAAAGTGATTTATCTCACGGTAAGTTGATCTTACTTGATGTGTATATTATTGTAACTAATATTTTTAAAAACCTTAACAAGGGTGGTTGAATTTAGTATGATAATTTCTGTAATAAATTTATAAGTTGTAATTTTTGTATCAGTGTTTGTTTTTTATAATGTTTGCTCCCTATAGACTGAAAATGAAAGTATGATGTGTTTTTCTGTAAAAATATTGTCAATGTTTGTGTTACAGAAATGGAACTGTTAGTAAATTGCCTATTTTTTATTTTAAATTATATTTGAATTTAATGTTGTCAATTTTTTTTTCAAAAAGTAAAAAGATACAACTAGTATTTACAGTATTAAAATGACCTCTATTATAGTCAATTTTTTTTTTGTCTGCTAATGCTGTACCTGCTATAAAATTCATACAATTTTAAAGGGATAAAAAGGAGCTTATTAGCCCATCAAGGATGTCCCTTCCAGCTCTCAACTATAACTACCCCTTACTACTCATGTATTCATCCAATCTTTTCTTGAACTCGGTTAAATTTTCTGCCTCCACCACCATTGAAGGCAGCTCATTCTTAAAGGCAACTACCCTGTTTGAAAAGTAATACTGTCTAAACTGCAGATGACTCCTACGCTTCCAAAATTTGAACTTATGATCCCATGTCCTATTGTTTCCCTGCTAAACACAAAAAAGTTTAATGGATCTATATTATCAATACCCTTAATAATTTTAAATGCCTCAATCAAATTCCCTCTGATCCTTGTACTCTCCAGAGAAAACAATTTTAGATATTTTAGTCTCTCCTCATAGAACAATCCCACCATCCCAGGTATCATCCTA